TATTGATTTGACAAGGAGCTACTGCACTCGGATCCATTATATGATGGCTAGATTAGATTACGTCGGGAGAGATCTGAGTCTTTCAATACAATAAAATAGGACACGTAATGATGAGACAACATGTAATGTTAAAGATTAGATCAGATATATTGGTCCGATCAAAAATAGGCTTAGGTGGTTAGATTACATTGAAATGTTAAATATGTTAGATCAGGATAGACTGCATTAAGGAAGCATGTTCAGGGTAAAAATTATTGAGTGAAATAGTGGGTTGGACAGTGGAATGAACATTAGCACACCCCTCGGAAAGATAGTTTGAGGAATGTAATGCTCAGTATCTTTTCAATTCCCAATTAGAACACAGAACAATACGGTACACGAACTGGCCCTTGGCCCATCATGTCTGTGCTAGTCATGATGCCATTCTAAACTAATCTCATCTGCCTTCACATGTCTGTATCCCTCTATTTGCTGCCTGGTTGTATCTTTCTAAATGTCTCTTAATGTTGCTACTGTATCTGCTTCTACCACCACCCTGTTATAGGAAGGATATTATTAAACTGGAGACGGTTCAGAAATGGATGTTGCCAGGATGTTGCTGGGAATGGAAGGTTTGAGATATAAAAATAGACTGGAAAGACTGGGACTTTTCCACTGGAGCATAGGAGGTTGAGAGGTTATCTTATTGAGATTTATAAAATCATAAGGGGCATAGATAGGGTGAATGACAAGGGTTTTTCTCCTGGGGTGGGAGAGTTCAAAACTAGGGGGTATGTTTTTAAGCTGAGAAGAGAAAGATTTAAAAAGTAAGGCAACTTCTTTTTTACATAGCGAATGATGTGTGCATGGAATGAACGGCCAGAGAAAGTGGTGGATGCAGGTCCAGTTACAACGTTTAAAAGACATTTAGGTAAGTTCATGAATAGGATAGATATGGGCCAAACGCAGGCAGGTGGGACTAGGTTAATTTGGGAACATGATTGGCGTGGACTGTTTGGACCGAAGGGTCCGTTTCCATGCTGTATGGCTCCCCTGGCAGTGCATTCCAGGAACCTACCACCCCCTCTCTAAAATACTTGCCTTGCATGACTCCTGTAAAACTTCCCACTTCTCATTTTAAGCTTATATCCCCTAGCATTTGATATGTCCACCATGGGGTAAAAGACTCCAATTATCCATTCTGTCCATGCCTCTCATAATATTATACACTTCTACCAGGTCATTCCTCAGCATCCAAGTTCGAAAACAATCCAGGTTTGTCCAACCTGTCTTTGTGGCTGATACACTCCAATCCAGGCAACATCCTGGCAAAGACAACACAGTGTGGAGCTGGAGGAACACAGCAGGCTAGGCAGCATCAGATGTGCAGGAAAGTTGATGTTTCAGGTTGGGTCTTCTGAAGAAGGGTCCTGACCCAAACATCAAATTTCCTGCTCCTCTCATGCTGCCCGGTGTGCTGTGTTCCTCCAGCTCCATACTGTGTTGTCTCTGACTCCAGCATTTGTAGGTCTTGCTTCTTCTAATATCTTGGTAGATCTCTTTTGTTACCATCTCCAAAGTCTCTACATTCTTCCTATTGTTTGGTGACCTGAATTGCACACAATACTTGAAATGTGGCCTGCCTAAAGTTTGATTGCAATATGACTTGCCAATTCTTATACTCAATGCCCCGATCGATGAGGGCAAGCAAGCCATACACCTTCTTCACAACCTTATCCACTTGTGTTTGTGTCGCCACTTTTACGGAGCTATGGACTTGCATCTCAAGATTCCTCTGTATATCAATGCTCAAGGTCCTGCCATTCACTGTATGCCTTCCTCTTGCATTTGACCTCCCAAAATACATCGCCTCATAGTTGTCCAGATCAAACTCCATCTGCCATTACTCCACCCAACTTTCCAAATGATCTATATCCTGCTTTATCCTGTGACAACTTTATTCATTATCCAAAACTCCACCAATTTCTGTGTCATCTGCAAGCTTATTAATCAGACCACCTATATTTTTTTCCAAATCATTTATATATATTACAAACAACAGAGGTCCCAGCACTGATTCTTGCAGAATACCATTGGTCACAGATTTCCAGTCAGAAAAAAACACCCTTCTGCAACTACCTTCTGTCTTCTATGACCAAGCCAATGCTGTATCTAACTTATCAATTCACCATGGGTTCCATGTGACTTAACCTTCTGGACTAGCCTACCATGATGGACACTGTCAAATGCTTTAGTAAAATACATGTAGACGGCATCCACTGTCCTACCCTTATCATTCATCTTCGTCACTTCCTCAAAAAACTCAAATCAAATTTGTGAGTCAGGACCTCCCTTGCACAAAGCCATGCTGACTACCTCTAATAAATCCATTCTTTTCCAAATGCGAGTAAATAATGTCCCAGATCCTTCTCCAAAAGTTTCCCTACCACTGATGTAAGTCTCACTGGCCAATAATTTCTTCCATTATCTCTGTTGCCCTTCGTATGCAAAGAAACAACATTGGCTATCCTCCAGTTTACTGAGGCCTCGCCTGTGGCTAAACAGGATACAAAGATTTCTGTCAAGTCACCAGTAATCTTCTCTTTTGCCTCCCTAAGTATCTTGGGATTGATCCCATCAGGCCCTAGGGACTTAACTACCTTAATGGTTTTCAAATCACACAACAACGCCTCCTTCCTAATCTCGACCTGCCCTAGAATACCAACATACCCCTAATCTTAGCATCATCCATGTCCTCCTCCTTGGTGAATATCGATGTGAAATATTCAATAAGCACCTCACCCACTTTCTTTGGCTCCATGCATAAATTCCCTCCGTTGTCCTGGATTGAACCTGCCCTTTTCCTGGCTAGTCTCTTGCTCCTAATATATGTATAAAATGCCTAGGGATTCTACTTAATCCCACTTGCCAAGGACATTTCATGGCCACTTTCGCCCTCCTAATTCCTTGTTTAAATTCTTTCCTGCTTCCTTTGTATTCTTCAATGGCTTTGTCTGATTTCAGTTTCTTAAACTTGACATGCACTTCCTTTTTCTTTTTGAGGAGACTTTCAATATCTCTTGTCATTCAGGATTCCTGAATCTTGCCATCTTTATCTTTCATCCTCATAGAAACATACTGGTCCGAAACTCTGATTAACTGGCCTTTTAAAGGGCTCCCATATGTCAGATGTGGATTTATCCTCAAACAGCTGCCCCAATCTAATTTCTCCAGTTCCTGCCTAATACTGTTGTAATTAGCCTTCAGCCAGTTTAGAACTTTCACCTGAGGACCAGTCTTATCCTTATCCATAACTATGTTAAACCTTACAGAACTATGATCACTGTTCCAAAAAAATGCTCCCCACTGAAACTTCCATCACCTGGCCAGGCTCATTCCCCAGTACAAGGTCTAGTACGGCCACGTTCCTAGTTCAACTATCTGTAATCTCACTCGATGTTGTTCAAGTCACCACATGCACAAGCCTTGCCTCTAATATACTACTAACCACCACTGCAAATACAGCTGGTACTTTCTGCAAGGATGCCACAACAGTGCTCACCATGAGTAATGAATGTTGCATTGGAATGCTAACCACCAGCTGGTTTGTGTGGTAAAGTGTGCATGAAAGGGTTAGCAATCCAAGAGTTTTTGGGAGAAATGCTTCACAGAGGATCCAAGCATAGGTAAAAGGAATGGAAAAACCACAGAATGCAATAAGTGTCAGCAAAGCAAATGTTTCTCTGTCATGATTCCATGGACATAGGCTTTGTCTTCCATATGTTAACATTCTTACCTGATACTCTTTAACATGCACCAAGGAACCAAAAATATGACTGGTCTCTGCAGGTATACCATTGAAATCCTGGGCATACATTACAAGACAGTTTTCTGAATAGCTGGTGAGCCACGTCAAGTGTTCACCATCATTCAATAGAAAGGCATGCTTGAGCCTTCAGATAACTCTCAGCTCACCAAGATCTGTTTCTAGCAAAGCGACATAATTGTTCCCTGCTACTACACTGTGGTGACATATAGACATTACTTAACAACGGTATCACCCTAACATAACAATATCAGGGAGGGGGAGAAATTGGTAGAAATTAAGATTAGTTCTAAGGTTGCACCACTGAGTTGTGGTGTGCTATGTATATTTCAAAATATACTCACTGAGTCTAACACTCCCTTGTGTATATTCTACTACAGCATATTGTGTCAATGGGCCAAGAGGTCCAGTTTTGTTTTATGTTTTTTTGCAAGGCCACATTTGTCCCTCATCCCTCTGTTGCCTTGACAGCAGTTAAGGATAGACGTAACTGTGGGACTGGAATCACATGTAGGCGACACCAGGTGAAGATGGCAGATTTCCTTCCCTTGAAGATATTTGTAGATGGTTTTTATAAAAACCAACGCTAGTTACATGGTCACTACTACAAACACTAGTTTTCAATTCCAGATTTTCTTTTACTAAATGAATTTAAATTCCATTAGCTGCTGTGGATTGGTTTGAACTCATATCCTCTGAACCTCAGCCTCAGGAGTAAACCGTCCAGTGACATTTTATGCAGAACATACACCATTGATAATAAACCCAGACAGATGGTGGGGCAGTGTCCTTAACTCAGAAGAAAAGTTCAGGGAATTGCAGACTGGCAGCTGATACAGGCTGCTGGGTATCTGGGGATTGATATAGTCTGCAGGTCAATCATGTGAACACAAGGCTTGAGAAACATTGTTTTACTGTGGTCTCTTGTGATGGGGTTGGGAAAAGCACGGTTCACAAATGGAGTTGTCCATGCCACATGCTGAGATGGAGATACTTGCACTACTCACCCGTCGTGCTTTACTCTGGTACTTAACCGCCTTTTTCGTGTCGGACACTGCCCTCTCTACGTAGTCAACTGAGTGCTCAACGTTGTATTCGATCCTGTCTATCATCTCTCCCTGGGCATCAAGGAAAACAGCAGAGACACGTGACAATAACAGATCTTCTCAGTGTGCGGTTCTCTTCAGCCACTTACCCGTCTGCTTGTACCCTGAAAGTTAACTGCTTTTTTTGTGCTGTCCTTTGCCTGCTCGACATAATCCGCTGCATTGGTGACGTTCTGCTCAATGCTGTTGACCACATCACCCTGAAACAGAAAGTAAAGGGTTGACAAGGAGTCCAGACACTCCGAGCACATAAAAACACAAACATGAAAAGCCACCCTTTTGCTTGCTCATTGCCCACACCTTGCAGCAGTCCCCAAGCCCAGCTGAAGCCTCTAGGAGCTTTATTCTCCAGCCCCACAGTAATTACTGCCTGACTGCATGGAACTCATCCTTTCACCTGGTGGATCACCACAATCACTCAGCCGAATGTGGAGGTGAAACAGTACATAAGCCATCTCCCACCATGACACAGTGAGCCATTCATTCACTTTTGCTAGGACTCAATTATCAGATCATTCAATCACTTCCAGTTGGAAAACTGCAGAAGCTATTAAAGATTTGACTTTAGTTTTGAACCGTAATAGATTTTGACCAATGGAGGATTTCTACTCCCTGTCACTGCTGTTTATACTAGGATGAGGATTCTCTGGACACTACATGTAAATGTTAATCTTTACTGACTTATTCCCAAGGGAAAGCTCACCTCCGCAGGAAAAGAAATGGCAGTGTGTTTTGCCGAGTCCCACTGAACATCCCATCGCCACTGCCACTATTCTCATTTTTATTTTTCTCCCAGCAGTCCTGAACCCCAAAGCTGAGGGGTAACAATTCAGATCAAATACTCCAGATTCCTGGAGTTCCCAAGAGCCAAACCCAGGATCATTAGCTTTGATTGAGACCGTTACTGTTTGTAGCTAAGAAGTGCTAACACACTGCATTAGGATCTGCCCCCTTCCACACTAGGCACTGCCAAAGATCAGCAAATCCTGGCACTTCATGTATGCTGCTTCTGTCCAGTGTTGGCATGGGAGAGGGAACGAGTAGGGAAATCTGTCCTTTCTGATGTCTGTTATTTCACGTTCATGCAGGATTCTTAGCTATGCACCTCTGAACACGTTGCTACATTGAGATTGCCTTTGGAGCCTGGGTCTCGCCACTGTACCGGGCCCTTCCCATGGGATGTGGCTTACTCCAGCAATAGTGAGCAGCAGGTTTGTACTCAATAATGCTGATGCTGGTATTCACTAGGCCTGGTAGAGTGGGAGAAGCCATGCCAACAAGGTAACAGTTACACAACACTGCACATTTGGCAGATTTGGTGCTACATTTCAGCATATATAAAGATACCCAAGGGCGTGCAAATCGCTTGTAGCACATGCTCTCATGCAAATTACACAGTTATGGCATGCTACAAATACAGAGATACAAATACCTGCAGGACTCCACCGTCCAGTCCAGGGTATTAGCAGCAGGAGAAAACATAGGCTTGTTACCAGCATAGGCAGAACTGACTCACAGGCAGAGACTCCCAGTAACACTGGAAAGCAGCACTACAGGGAGCTCTATTAGAATTCTATAGCCCCCTCTCCTCAATCTCTCTGTAATCAGGTTTGTTTTAGTTGCCTATAATCTCCAATCTCTTCAGCCCACAATGGTGTACTCCAGGGGTTGGATATCAGGGTCTTTGCTTGTTTGGACCTATATTAGTGACTACGACTTGAGTGCGGGGCACATTTTCAAATTTTGCAGATGTCATCATGCTTGGGAATATTATGGACTATGAAGAGTATAGTTGTCGGCTTCACAAGGATGTAGATTGGGATGGACAGACAAGTGGTAGACAAAATTTGATGTGGAGAAGTAAATAGGGAAAATGTGGAGAGACAATATAAATTACAATTCTAAAGGGGGTGAAGGAACAAAGGGACCTGCAGTACATATAAATAAATCATTGAAGATCATAGGATAGGTTGAGAAAGCAGTTTTTAGGGCATGAAGGAGCTAGGTTTTGTACAAAGAGGAACTGAGCATGAAAGAAGGATGTTATGATGTTTGTAGAAAACTTTGGTTTGCCTCACCTGGATACTGTATCTAATTCTAGCAACTATAATTTAGGAAGGATCTTTAACACAGTGTAGAAAAGATTAAAGAAAATGGATCTGAGGATGAGGGACTTCAGCTTGTGTACAAGAATAGACTGGAGTCACTAGGCTGTTCTCTGTGGAGAACAGGAGGCTGAGGGAAGATTTGATAGAGAATCTCAAAATCATGAAGGATCCAAATGGAGTAGGAAGGGAGAAATTGTTCCCATGGGTGGAAGTGTCATGACATAGTGGACGCTGATTTAAAATGATTGACAAAAGAACCAGTGATAACTTGAGAAAAAACATTTATATGCAGCAAGTTGTTTAGGATCTGTAATGCACTGCCTGAGAGTGGAGGCAGATTCAATTGTGGCTTTCTAAAGGAAATTATCCGAAAAGAAAACTTTTGCAGGGCTACATAGGAAAGGCAGGGGAATAGCACCAGTAGACCTCACAGGGAGCCAGTATGAACATCAACAGATAAAATGAGCTGCTTCCTTGCTCTAACTATTGAGTAAGTCAATTGTTCTGTAAAGGTTAATGTTACAGACTACGTTAAACTCCATCCAGTCTGATGATACCATACTGGTAGGGATAAGGCAGAACATCTTAGGATCTTGTGGAGTTAAGATTTACATCAATAGTCTTAGGAACAAAACTTAAGCTCCTAATATAATTTGTACCTTTCTTTCCATTTTCAATTTCATTTTGTTTTCATGAAGGGGTGAGGGTGAATGCTTGGAGTTGGAGATATTTGTAAATGGTCAGATGAGGTGATCAGTCAAACTAAAATGGAGGGGGAATGGAAGCAGAAGGTAGGGAGATTCTAGAAACATTGGTACAAAGGAGCAGGATTAGGCCTTCGAGCCTGCTCTGCCATTTTAGATCATGGCTGATTATTTACTTCAGCACCACTTTCCTGCATTAAAACTACATCCCTTGATGTATTCAGTAACCATAAATCTAGTAATCTCTGCCTTGATCTTACTTAACGACTGAGCTTCTATAACCCTCTGAGGTGGAAAAAATGAACAATAATTAGTGAGATTCACAAATTGAAAGGCAAAAGCTCACATCAAGCATGGGGGAGATGTCACTGTATGTCGAGCTAATCTACAGTGGCATTGGTCACAATTAGTCAGAGAAAATTCTACATCTTTCATGTAGTTTATTATAATGGACAGGGAGAATGCAGCACCAGTTGTAGAGGAAGCATGAGTGATCCACTGACAGGAGAATGATGTGGGCTGTGTAGCTGGGAGCTAGTACAAATGATAACATTACCAGTTCAATTCTCTGCTTGGGTTTGTGAAGCTGTGGTTTTCTGGATAGAGCCTACCTGAAACCTGGCAGTAAGTAGACAGAGTCTCTAATGGACCAGTTGGAATAAATGTTGCTTCTAATGTGTTACACAGGTCAAGGACATCTGAAATTTCTTCCCCAGTCTGTGCTCAGTTGGTTACTCTGCACTGGGTGATGGTAAAGTGTGTGGCCTGGGAGAAAAGTTATAAGTGGAGAAAACTACAAGATAGATATGGAGATGATGTCTAAAAATTTGAAAAACAACTTGCAGCCTCCTACTTGGGCCAGTCTGTGATGGACACATGACAGGTGGGTTACACATAACACCTAATCTGATATTAGTATTACCCTTTGACATCAATAATAAAATTCAACATCAGCAAATAATTTCACAAGCCACAGTGTAAAGTGAAGTAATGTATTTCTCACACACACAAATACCCTTACACTTCCCTAAAGGGATTCATTGATCAAAATGTTTTGTCAACTAATGTCAGCATCACCATAGAGACATAAAGGATTTAAATTTGATCTATATGGACAAAGTTGGGTCTATTATTTACATGCCTCTCAGCTAGTTTTGTGATACAAAAGTTCAGAATGGGAACACTCTCCGTTCACTGCTTCTCTTACCTGGCTTTCTACCAGCATTGCCATGTCCATGAACATATCGTGCAGCTCACGGATACAGTTTTCCAGTTTGATGATCTCGTGGTGTCGTGTCTCAATCTCATTCAGCGCCTGCTTTGTTATATTTGAGTCCATTATGATCTGAGAGAGAAAACAGGGTTAGTAAGCCCCCATCAAGGCATATTTCTAAAGCTGATCAGGTAAAAATAAAGCTTGGAACAGATCTCCAACCTGGATTGTGTGCAGTTTAGACACAAAGCCTGGCATATCTGAGCATACACTCACTAAAAATGTTAAATCTACAACAACAGGTTTTGGTCACCTTATCATCATTTTCTCGAAGCACTTTCCCCTCTCTTTGCCCTACTGTTTCTTTTATGCATCAGGAATAGACCCAACAGTTTTTCCTACGATTGCTTTGGCCAAGTCTACATTAACGGAGTATGATGACTAAAATTCTCCAGTTTCTAAAGACAACATGATTACTCCTGCATTACCTTGACACATGGCTTCCTAAAGTATCACCACTTTTCTTCAATCATGAAATGTGGGTGTCACTGGCTGGTCCAGGATTTATTCCCTCTTAGTTTTTTTTAAATTTACTTGTAGGATGTGGGCATCATGGGGACTTCTAGGATTTTAACCCAATTAATAACCACCCTGAGGGAGGTGAGAAACACCTCAAAGTGCTACAGATACAATAAGTTACTTTGAAGTGTGGTGTTATATAGAAACACAAAATAGCTACTTTGCCTATACTGAGGCCACCCCTGCCCTTCATCAGTAAAATTACAGGTTAATTTTAAAATGAAAGGCCATTGATCTGAAATATGAACTCTTTCTCTCTTTCTACAGAAGTTGTCTGACTTGCTGAGTGTGATCAACATTTGCTGTGTTTATTTCAGATATCCAGCATCCACATTTGGTTTTTGGACCAGTAAAACTGTTGTATTTTTTTAATTTGTTCTTGGGATGGAAGGCCAACAATTGCTGACTTTGAGAAGGTGATAGTAAGCTTCCTTTTTGAACCACTGCAGTCCATTTGATTTAGAAACACTGACAGTGCCAACAGGGAGTACTGGGATTTTGACCCAGAGGCATTGAATGAACAGTGAATTTTTTTCTCTAAGTCTGAAGGTAAGAGAAGGATGGAAATTGGAAGCAGAATTAATAAATTTTTCAGACCATTCTGATGGGGGTTGGACATGAGAAAGTTTAAATGTCCATGGTAAAGAGGACATGATTGGGCCAGGAAGCTAAAAATTGTGGAACCAACATAAAGTATCAGAAGATATAAATGGGATGAGATTGGATGAGGGGAGGAAAACAGAATCAAGAGAGGAAGAAATGAGTTCAGTGGAGGCTGAATTGATGGGTCTTCCAATAGGACAATAAACTGTACCTTGTTAACTACAAGAAACTGTTGTAGTTAGACCAGTAAATGGCTTTCCTTTACCACTTGAGACCAAACAGGCCCTGTAGTTTCTGACACTTCCTCTACCCTCAGGACAACTGAGGGTAACTGACATCATTCAGAAAATGCAATACTGCAATTAAATATATTTCAAACCAGCAAGATTCATCAACAAAAACAGGAAGAACTGCAGATGCTGTAAATCAGAAACAAAAACAGAAGTTGCTGGAAAAGCTCAGCAGGTCTGGCAGCATCTCTGAAGAGAAATCAGAGTTAACATTTTGGTTCCGGTGAGTTCTGAGTCAGAGTTGTGAGGAAGGGCGACCGGATCTGAAATGTTAACTCTGATTTTTCTTCACAGATGCTGCAAGATTCATCAACAGTTTGTTGATCATGAACTGATGAAACATTCAACTTTGCTAACAACCCACACTAAGCATTGCTAATTATTTGTCTTTTTTAATCTGATATGTTTTAAAATTAATGTATTTGAGTAGGCTATCACTATTCAATGCTTGCATATCCAAACAGAATCATGTTACAGTTGGTTGCAGCTCAATAGCTTCCAGGAATCCTTTATCAAGTTAACTTTCAAATTGAGACTCAAGGCTAGGTATAGCCAGATACTTTGGATGAAGTTCAGCTTCCTTTACGAGGGAGAAATCCCATCTTCAATCAGGTTTATGCACAAAGAAGAAATATTTTAATAAGTGCTGTAAAAGCACCAAAAGAGAGAAAGGGTCAGATTCAGGAATAGGCTGAAGGTGGAGGTCTCTTGGCAATGTTTCCACAGATTGATGCCAGAATGAATACTGCAAGGTGAAACCACTCTTTTGTCATCTTCGTTAGAGATGTGATCCAAAGAAGAATGCAGTTCTGAAGCATGGAAAGAGCTTTAGACCTGACTTTAATTCCAAGCAAGTGAATAGATTTTCATCAAGTTCAAATTTCACCCAAGGAAACCTGACCCAAGTCTTTTAACAAAAAGCTGGCATTACCTTTTCAGCTAATTTCTTATCCATTCCTAATATCCACCTGCAATTCCCGGATTTTTAAATTTGACTCATAACAATGGGTGAAGAACTTTGCCCACTGTGTTTTGGACGTTTATATCCATCAAGTTTTCAGGTTTTTAAAAAGATTTAAAGATCAGGAAGGATCTTCCTCTGCCTAAGTCTTTGTTGATTGTTAATAAAATAAACAACATCGAACAGATAATCCTCACATTTATTCCCGATAATTCCATGATTTTAAAACGTACATCAGAATACAATTACTCTGTCACTTTAAATAGCACCAGGTCTCAGACCAATCAGTGTGATGTCTGTCCATCTCCTTGAAGACACATAGCTGAGAAATGGTTGTAATGTCCAAGGAATTTGAACTCTTCCTTGCTATACCATTGATCTATTAATGCATCTAACTACTGTAAATGCTCTGATCCCTCTTATTTAATTATTTCTATAATGACTGATATGTGGCACCAGATGTAATCTTGTTATTACTTCTACAGAGACCTGCTCTTTATTTAGTCTGTCCCTTAAATCCTAAAATCTTTGCAGGTGCAGGATATTAATCTAGCCTTCCTTATGCTATTTCTTCCAAAATGAGCCATTGCTGTGTATAAATTGGTTGTCGAGTATTTTTGGGCCCCCTTGGCATGTGAAAGATGCTATGTAAATGGAAATGAAGTTTCTTCTTTGTCACCTGGTCAACATTTTTTTCTCAACTATCTTCAAAAACTAACTAAATAGCCATTAAGTTCACAGTAGCCTGTGAGATCTTGCTCAACACAAGGTGCTGCAATCACGGAACTTTACAACAGCAGCCTCCACACTTTAAGGTTTAGTGTGTAGGTTATGGCAACTTGCTTTAGTGATACAATATAATGAATAGACATCTGTGTACGTAACAGCTTCACGGATATTCCCCTGATGTCCCAGTGTGCTCTTAACTAATGACTAGTCTTTGCAGTGCTGTCACTGTGATAGTGAGTTTGGCAGCTAGTTTACACACTGGAAAATACCAACAATGTTTATTTGTTTTTCGTCGAGAGAATAAGATCAGACTGGATACCAAGAGAAAGCTGTGCTCTTTTTGACATAGTGCCGCGGGATCTTTAAACTCCATAGAGGGCCTAGGCTTTTACATCTCATTTCAAACATAGTGACTTCACACTAAAGGATCAACCCAGATTAGCAGCTTGTGTGAGTAGGGTTTCAACCTACAATCTTCTGATTAAAAGGCAAGAACATTGCCCAATTGATGCTTAAATGCCTTTTTAAAGCTTGACACTCAGTTCAGTATTTTTGACTTAATGCCTTCGTTGATAGTACACTGTTTGATGGGTGCAGTGTAGTTATTGTCCTGAGTAATGGTTCTGATTCCACTTGGGGATTTAGCATCAGGGAGTCAGGGAGGTTAGGGAAGGACTCACCCCAGATGTGAAGATAGCGGGATTCCCACTTTCCAGCATGTCTTCAAGCTCCTCATTTGTAGTCGTTCTGCCAGCTGAAATAAAGCAAATAGGAACAATCCTATCAATTTTACTTCCAATAGTGAGCTGCATTACTTAGAATGTACACAATCCATTCATAACAGAGCAACACCATGACTTCCCCTACTGTTCTCTCCTACACAATGTGTCATAGAAGTTTTTTTTTGTGTGATTTAAAGGCCAGGTTTGCCCTAATGCTGCTGTCAACCAGTGGGAGGGTGTCCAGGGTCTGTTGAGGTGATAAGGATACTGCCTGGTTGGATCATACATTGATGGTGACTGGTTGGAGAATATGTAGAAACCCACAGGGGCAGAGGGCAAGTGGCTAAATGCATGGGAGGTGGCAAGGAGGAAGATATAGGAACTGATAAATTGGGAATTCTATTCGTGGTACTCTCCAAAGACTCATACTCCATGGACCCACATACACACTCCTGATAGTCACCCTCCAGAAATCCTAATCATAAGAGATGTCCTCCAGGTATTCCTGCATGTGCTCCTTTGGTTGAACATCTTGCCCAAAATAGTTAAAAAAAAAGCTTTAAAAAAGTAAACAGAAGCATGAACGACAGAGAGAGACTAGGTGTCCTGGGTAGATGATTTAGCCTCTGATCAAACCACTGGTTCTAATAAACTATTGGAAATTTTGTTTATTTCAAATGTGATGACTTGATCAACCATGCAAACAGATTAAGGAGTAAATACAGTTCTTGGGGATCAGTGATCAATCTTCAGTTTCAATCTTTGCCATGTGCTAACTGAGGCAGTCTCAGTCAGGCCAGAGACCTCAGTGCCTCTGGTAGACAGAGCAAACGTGGGAGCACTGGCCATGGGATTGAGGAAAATTAACTAGGATTCTAGATCCTGATCACTGTTGGACACTGCTGAGTGCAATTATTCAGAGAGGAGAGGATTGAACAGAACTGTAATGATCTTCAAGAAATTTGCTTGGCAACACTCATTAACAAGGTTCAGATGGGCAGAATGGCCCCTTGCTTGAGGTACCATGGGCAGCAGCCAGCTGGGAGATCATAGCGTAACATGATTCAATGAGCTCTTCCAGCACAGATGAGAGGGTGGCGACATAAATTAGAGGAGAGATACATGGTTGAGTGATTGTTATGGATTGGGCTGGGATTCTAGCCAGGTATTGCAGAGAGGATCTGTGTCCAAAACAAACTGGTGTTGACATAATCGAACCAAATTTGGTGGGAAAGCAACATCAAGGTGTTAACAAAAGCATTTTGTGGCATGCAAAAATGGTAGTAAACTGTTGCTCAATTTACGCTGGTTGTTGTCAGTGTCACAAAATCTGAAGCTGTCAGTTGCCCAATGCCTTGGAAGAAATTGCTGTAGTTTCATGATTAAAAGGAATTAAACTCACTGCAGAGAGATGAACCTGGCACCTAATGACCCAAGGACTCATTTTAATGAGGAGCTTAACATTCCTGTAATTCCACACAAGTTTTGAAAGAAGGAAGCAGCTGAAACTAAGCAGTCTCATTCCTCTAGGCAGGAAATTGTTCCAGGGGCTATTTCAAATTTTAAAACACTTTTCTCTTTTCTCTACTTTTCTCTTTCTGATCTTCCAATCTTACTTTGCTTCCCTTTATTTCTCCTTCTATACTTAATTTGACCAATTCACTCTATTCTTCTCTCCATCAACTCTCTTTTTTCCCCCATCCTTTAATTTCAATGGCTGAGGAGAGAAATTGTTGATGTTTGCCTTCAATGTCCCAGATGTCCTCCTGACCCCTCCACACAACTCTGGGCTCACTTTTCCGACAAGGTGTAGCTCAACACATTTCTACACTGAAACGATGACGAAACAAATCATAGAATTGAAGTACAGAGGATACCCTTTAGTCCATGGAGTCTGCACTGAAAAAAACTAAATTTACACTAGTTTTACTTTCCAGTACTCAGCCCAGAGCCTTGAATGTTATGACATTTCAAGTGCTCATCCCAAGTACTTTTATAAAGGCCGTGATGTTACATGCCTCAACTACTCTCCCAGGCAGTGCATTCCTGACTCTCACCTCAATCCGAGAGAAAAATATTTCCTCAAATCCCCTCTACACCTTTCTCCTTAAAATTATGTCTCCTTGTTATTTCCCTTTCAACGAAAGGGAGCAGTTGCTTTCGATTCACCCTGCCAATGTCCCTTGTAATCCTATACACATCAATCAGGTCCCCTCTCAGCTTCCTCTGCTCCAAAGAAAATAATCCAAGCTAATCCAGCCCCTCTTCATAGCTAAACTGCACCATCCCAGGCAACATCCTGGTGAACTTCATCTGCACCCACTCAAGTACAATTGCATCCTTCCTGTAGTGCAATGACCAGAAATGTACACAGTTATGGACTAACCAAAGTTCTGTACAGCTCCATCACAACCTCCTGATGTCATAATCTATGCCGTGACTGATAAAGGAACATGTCCTGTATGCCTACTTCACTACCCTAATAACATGTCCAGCCACATTCAAGGATTTGTGCACAAGCACACCAAGATCCCCCTGTTCTTCTGAGCTTCCTAGAGTCCTGCATTGAGTACGCCCTTGTCTTGTTACTTCTTCCAAAGTGCATTACCTCACACTTTTGAGGAGTAAATTCCATCTGCCATTGATCTGCCCATCCAATCAATTTGTTTACATCCTCCTGTAACCGAACATTTTTCTTGCTCACTGTCAACCATCTGGCAATCTTCATGTCATCGCAAATGAATATCACAAATAATAAGGGACATTGCTCTGACCCCTGCAGTACACCACTATACACCAGCTTCCAGTCACCTAAACAGCCTTCTACCACCACACTCTATCTCCTAACACTAAGCCAATTGGAACCAATTTCCCAAATTACCCTGAACCCCTGTGCTTTTACCTTCTTTATCATTCTCCCATGTTGGACCTTGTCAAAAGCTTCGTTGAAATCTACATAAATGATATCAACTGCACAACTTCATCCACACATCTGATCACCTCCTTGAAAAATTCATTCAAATTTGTTAGGCAAAGTCATATTGACTATCCCTGATCAAACCTTGCCTCTCCAAGTGGAGATTAATTCCTTCCTTCATAATTTTCTAATAATTTTCCTACCAAAGATGAGACAGTCACTGGTCCGGAATTCCTTGGTTTATCTCTACCACCTTTCTTGAAAAGTAGAGCCACGTGGATTATCCTGTGGCCCTATGCCATCTTCCCTGTGGTTTGACAGGAATTAAATCAGCCAAAACGGGCAATCTGGGAGGTGTCCCACTTCAACAAATATTCAATTCCTGGCAGTACATTCAGTATCGATACTCTGTTACAGGGTGTCACCTGGTAAAGCTGAAAACCCATCAGGCAAAACTACCCTGAGTGTGACTTGCACAGACAATATCTCAGTGCAATGGGAGACATGTCAAAAAAACTGCAGGTGCAAATACAGAGGGACAAGATCTGAAAATATTTTGCACTTATGGTCTGACCATCATCTGTGCAGCTTTGAGTTATAGAGTCATAAAGGTTTACAGCAAGGAAACAGGCCCTTAAGCTCAACTTGTCCGTGCCGCCTGGCTCCCAGAATCCAATAGCAGCCTCTCTCAAAAGTTAGGGGATAATGCCTACACCAGCCTTCGATTTTTCTGGAATTTTCTAGGATAAGCAGCACAATGATGATTTTTATGTAGGGTCAGTGTGAGCATCATTGATAACTTATTCCCAATTGGATTACCCTTTGGAAGGTATTGTTCCTCTTCATTTCTAACTAGGACTCCTTTATGATTTGAGCCCATTAACACAATGAGCAATTTGCTCATGCACGTTTTAGCAATTCCCTTGGAAGTGAACATTTCAATTAGGCCACTTCAAATCTCTTAATTTTCAGACAAAATAAACCCAACATGTTCAGCCTTTCCTTATCACTTGGAATCCCAAGGTCTGGAATTTTTTTTTCCTGCTCTTGTACTCTTCCCCCTGGCCCCACTAACCAATATTAAGATCCTTGCTATAATGGGATGGCTCAGGCTGAGCCTCCATGATCAGCAACGCTTAATGCATAAAGAACACACTTCTCCAACTTAACTCTTAGATTTCACCACCACTCATGCTCCATTTCACACAGTGTAACACGCAGATCTCTCTTTGGATTAGTGCACGTTACTATGGCTCCATTATTCTGTAAGTGTGTCATATGATAGCAGCTCCTGGAGTACTGGGCAAATAGCAGCAGGACCCAGCACTCTGAACAAAATTTAATAAATTTCAAATCATAATGAATTAAGGAAAGAATGCCTAGATTTGCACTTGTGATATCAGACTATTCACACTGAGGTCAAATAAATTGCCCTTTGAAAATTAAACACCAACGATTAAACAAAATCAGATAACTCTAAAACTCATTGACAAATCCACTTGTAGTGCAGAGAAACCAGTCTCACACTCACCAAGAAACCAGCCCTAAACTCTCTGAGAGACCACCCTAACATAAATATGGATCAGGGACCAGTAGAAGCCTAGAAAGGTAAACTTTGAATGTATTTTTTTAACCTCACTTGTATGGCTAGGAAGAACAGTCATGTACAACGTGGCTCTCCACTGAAAAGCTAGGCCTTTTTGGCCATGATCTTGTTCTATTCCCAGTCATAAGGGACTGAACCACTCATCTGTTGTTAGAAGGTGGCCTCTGTACCCTGTGATTTTTCACAGCTACCTGGGATTTTCATTATTTTTAAAATGTAACTTATTCTTCTAATCAACCTATTCAGAGATGTTATTACACACTTTTGGTGTGTTATTACACACTTTTGGAGCAGGTGGGACTCTACCTCTGCACCACAACAGCCCTTTTTCCTGAGATTTTAATGAGTTTTGATCATTCAAATAGGCTGGAGTTCAGTCACTTACAGGTGTGGAGGAATCAGAATTGCTTCTTGTTGAAAAGCTGCAGGAATTTAAAACCTGGGAGCATGTGTCCCTTTTGATTTCAGCTCTTTAATCAGCAATTATCACTATTCAATCTCTCTGTATG